CCCCCCCCGGCCAAGCGGCAACTGCCAAGGAGCCGGCGACGGGCGGAACCGCGGCTGCCGCTGTGGAGGCGCGAGCCCTGTCAGGCCCCGCCCCCCCCCAGCCTTCTACCCAACCATGTACTGAACCCACAGGCCGCTGGTTCCCGCGTTAGGCGCGGCCTCTCGTGGCCTGGGCATGTTGGTCAGTAGCGCCTGGGCCCTGGGACTGCAGGGGTCAGGAGGTTGGGGTACTGAGTGTGGAGGAAGGGTGATGGGGTATGAGGAAGAGAATGGTGGAGGCAGAGTAAAGGGGAAGTTACAGAGCTCCGCTGGGCCAAGTGGTTAGTGGTGGCAGGTGGGAGTGTAGCGGAGTGATGGGCGTGCAGAGTGGGGAGTGACTGGGGACAGTTATGGTGTTTACGTGTGGCATGGAGCAGGTCTGTTGCCATTGGAGGTGCGGGGTGCAGAGTAGCTGGCTTCATAGCGTGAATTAGAATAGGAGCAGGGCGAGACCTGCTGGTGTGGAATAGAGAGGGAGAAGGGGCTAGGGGCCGTCTTTGAGTAGTGGGACTAAGCACAGGTCTTGAGAAGTGAGCGAGGTGCTATCTGCTCAGAACAGAGTGATGTGTTTGTGGTGTGCTTTACAGAGAGGGAGAGACCCAGGAACCTGAGGGGAGTGCACTGGGGAGGCGTTGAGGAAGGGCAGGACGGAAGGATTGTTCCCCCATTGTCTGCTGGGCCCCTTCTTCCCCACCCAGCAGGAGATGAGGAGGCCCTGATGAGAAAGATCTTTATGAAGAGAGGGGCAGGTCCAGGTCTCTAGGGGCTGTTACAGTTTTGGAGGGCCCAGCAGGCTTTTGGGGCTCCAGTGCCCCAGTGTAGCGGATGGGGTTGTCCTAGTGTCTTGAGTCCCTTCCAGTGTTGGCTGCTTTGTTCCTCTCCTGTTGCCTCGATGTGTACTTTTTCTTTTGTCAACACCTTACAGAATCAGGTCTTGAGGCCAGTGCCTCACACAGGGCCCCCCGCCCCAGGCCAGCCTTCTGAAGGTGTGGGCCGGGGTGGGGCAGGGAGGGTCAGCCCAGGTCAGATTGATCTAGACCAGGGGGAAGCATGGAATGATGGGGACCAGGGCTATGGCGGTTCTGTTCTCTCTTCATGGTCTTCCGCTAGCAGGGGCCTCCTCTGCTGGTTCCACTTCCCTGAGGGAGCCCACTCGCAGCCTAGGCCAGCTCCAGGAGCCCAGCCAGGGGTGGAACCCAGCCTAAGGCTGGCTCTGCTACCACCTAGCTCCTGGAGCAGGAGATTGGACTCCTAGGACTGGTCCCCTGGTGAGGGAAGAACCGTCCTGTGCATATCCTCAAGGAGACACCTGGCACTGTTGCCTTCCCTGGGCAGAGACTTGTAATGATTTTCTTGTCTGCCTCTTCATCTGTGCCCATTTTTTTTGGAGTTAACCACGTCCTCCCATCTTGTGGGCAAGGAGGCTGAATGAAAAAAGAAAGAAGAATAATGCTTTGCCTTTACTTGTATTATTTAAATTTCTTTGAATATATTTCTATACATCCTATCTAAAGTTGAGATAGAGACATAAGAAAACTAGCAATGTAAGAGATCCACAGTAATGTGTAAGTTATTTTTTAAATTTTTTAAATTTTATTTTTTTCATTTTTTGATTAAGTTATAGTCATTTTACAATGTGAGTAATGTATAAGTTATTTAGAGAGTTAACACGAGATACTTGGACTCTCAAAGAAGCTAGCTAATGCAGATGATGCTAAAAGAATGCTAATTTAGTTGCTTATAACATGTATAGAGGTATGTGTGTTCCTTCTCACAGGGGTTAGTAACTTGGGGAGCAGGGCTGCTACAGATTCAGGTCCTATTTCAGTGGCAGGTCCATCTTATCTCCCCTTCAGTTCATATTCTCGGGCAGGAGCTACATG